TATTGTCATATAGTATTTCATAGCTGTTTTTCATTTATTCTCTTATTTTTTTATAACTATAATGATCATATGAACATGTGCCTCGGAAATAATTGTTTACATTAATGGTGACCAAAACGTTTGAGGCCCACTGAGATAACACTGAGAAAGTCCTTTAGTTCACTGAGTCTCTCATTCTGACAGGAGAGGACTCTCCTCCACTTGTTGTTGAAAAAACTCCTGATATCCGTTAGCGTAGCTCGCTAGCACCAGAAGCTAACAACAACGATCTCAGGTACCGGTGCGCTCTCTCTCTCTCTCTCTCTCGCTCGCGCACGCACACCAAATGGCTCGTTTCACACACACACAGAGCCGAGCTTTAATGAAACACAGAGACCCAGACGTAATAGTACTGTACTGTATCATATTATTTTCGAATCAATAATTTTTCAAATTATGATTTTTTTTATTTAAAAAAATAATAATTTAATAACCATTTTTCCTCCTGGTCTCTCGCGCCCCCTGTCATTCCTCTGCCCCACACTTTGGGAACCACTGCTCTAACCAACTGTATTAAAATGCCACCATCATTCTCTCCCGTCATGCCGTGAGATGATATTATGCAGTTTGTTTCTCATGTGAGAGAGCCAATGCCAGTGGCTATCTTACATCATTTCCAAAGCTAGCTAGGCCAAGATCAACAAAAAAACATACATCAAACAAAACGTAATGCCAGGTTATCACTGTGCTGTACAGATATTCCTTATTATCTGTTACATTCTGCTGAAAGAATTTTTGACTTTTATTTATGGTGTTATCTTGGATATTATTACTGCTGCGTTATATTTACGTAGCATTTTACTGCTGTGGATCCATTATTTTAACTTCTTTATATACGAATGGGTAGTTTAAGTTACAACAATGTATCATATTTTATAAGAACATCCTGTGTTTGTGGCTTTGCTGTCCAACGAGAACGCAGATGCCAAAAAAGTTAACTTCTCATGAGCTCAGAAAAACAGCCCTGTTGTCTACTTTGTGGCATACTTTCATGATCCAAGAGGGTTTTCGAAAAGTTAGTTTAACAAAGAAATGTGCGTGGCTTTTCAATATATCAAAGAAAAAATAATTCTTCATTTCTTTCAGAAAATGTCAATTCAAATCATAGTAGAAAGGGTATGAAATTGTAATCTGTAATCTGTATATATATATATATATATATATATATATATTACAGATTCACTATATATATATGTGTGTGTGTGTTTAAGTATAGATACGTGTACATGTGTAGATATTTGTCATTTCAAACAACCCTGGTGTATTTTTTTAATTTTACTAATTTTTAATTTGACTAATTTTGTTCGGTATTTAATTTGTCATTTTCGGGTCTCTAAAAATATTTGATTTGCAAAACTGTACTTTTAATATAATGTGACCCCAAATAAATAAAGAATTACAAAAAAAGTCATAATAGTAGCTGCCTTACATAAGCAGTGGAGTGCAAACGACCGCTGAGATGTTGTGGAGTATAGATTGCAAAACAAGGTAGTACTATAAAATACCTGAGTACCTCAAATTTGCTACACATTTCATAAACTTTACACAAATGTTATAGAAGTATTACTCTTTCTATGGTAATCCGAAGACAAGATAAAGTACTTATGTCTGTCTAATTATTAGGATTCACACTGGCAGTCTTTCCTATTTCATGATCAAATGAGAAGGCGGCCACTCAAAGTTCACGGTGCCGATCAAACAGCAATCGGGACCTACAGCAGAGCCAACCCTATCAGTGCTGTACTGTAATATCTCTCACAGTAAAATGAGCATAAATCACAGCACAATTGTAGCAGCAGCTTTTCATTCAAACAACAACATTCACTTATTGGAAAACTGTCAAAGGAACTCACCTAACATTTACAAACAATAACCGGCCCCCTCTCTTTGTTGTGGATCTGCAGTTTCAGTCAGATTTTCTCACTGGTAACCTCTGGCGACATCAGGGCCCATTATATGTTGTGGATCTGTGCACCTCACTCCCCCTCACTGTGAGTGGAGCACTTCGATTAGATTGACTGTCTAAATATGTTTTGGACTGGTGGATGGGCTGGTTTCAGATTTTGACAGTGCGTGTGTGTGTGTATGTGTTTGGCACTCATCCAGGCTAAAGCCCGGCAGGAAGATATACAGAAAGAAAAACCTGCTGCAACAGGTTACATAACATCTACAAGTTGCAGCCATTGGCAGCTGGCAGTGCTCTCTTCCTCCTTCCATCACTCTTTCTTTGCCTGACTGAATGGTTGCTTGTCTTGACGAGACATTAGATACAGTGCAGATCAGAGCCAGTGGCGGCGAGAGCAGGCGCAGTGCCCTGGTTTCTGAGCTCACCCATTGCAGATGCTGGCTTAAATGTGATCAGGTTTCCACTTAACTGGTGCACTATAAAACAAACGTGTGCACAAGTAAATACAGGCGTTTATCCATTTAAGATGTTGAAGAACACACACAAAGTTACAGCTTGAGCAAACTGAAACAAAATAACTGGCTACTAGTTTTAAAAGAAGCAGTCAATCTGGAAATGTCAGTCTTTGATGCAGCCAATAGGAATTAACTCCTAACTTCTGGAAATGCCCATCAATCAGGCCCTTGTCATTGGCACAATGAGTCATATTTATTTCAGTCCATGTCAAACATTTCCTTTTTTCTTAATAAATCTTAAGTTTCTCTCTGAAAACACAACAACCTTAAAAAGCAAGGGAGGCAGAGGAGTACAGTAGAAAGTGAGAGAGGTAGAACGAGTGGAGGTATGTCATTACAGGTAGATTCCTATCCTATCCTCCCCATGAACCAGGAAAACATTGGAAGCCGTAGCTCGGTGCAATACCTTGAACAAATTCTGTCCTCAACAAGAGGGTGAGGCAGAATGACAGAGGTAAGGATTGATTACAATTCGAATAAACTCTTGTGTTACATAACCAGGCCTCTGCCAAGCTGAGCTAGTGCCCAGGGCTCTCACTGACAACGATTGAGTTCTTCAGGAGGGTGTAATGGGGCATTAGAGTCTTATTGTCTTCTAGGAAACAACTGCTCCAGTACTCATGGATTCTCAAATGCAATGTCATGTTCTTCAGAGCTAGAACATGTTATTTCCTGTTTTTACAGTTTTATGAACTGTAATCATCATCTTCCCGTTTTTATAATTACAGAATTAATCAGAGTTGTAATGAATCACTGTAACTTAATCACAACCTGGTGACAGAGAAATTGGTCATGCTGGTACTCACACAAATATTGTAATGTTGTTGTAATAACGATGGTGAAAACAGGCTGTTTTTTACTGTTTTTATTTTACTGTTAACATACTAAACTAGCATTCCTGTGTCAACAATAAAGTGAATATAATTGACAAGTGGGAAGGGGGACATTATAGGTCACCTAAGCTGCTACAGAGCATCCCAGGCTGTGATAGACAACAACAACAACAACAACAACAAAAAGAGTGAACAATTATCATAAAAAAACCTTTGATCATATGCATGGACCTAATAAAGGGCAGCTCCTCTCCTCTGACACCCTCCCAGTTATTGTATGCATGGTTGCACGTGTGTATTTTGGAACCTACTGTGTACAGATCCTTTTTGCATGTGTTTATTTTAACTGCAACTGTATAAAAACAACAGAATGAGTTTCCCTTTGTAAAGTGTATTATTATTCTTATATATCTTGATCTGTGACCTTGTAAAATTAAGTTTGCGACCCGCTTGTCACAGGTTGCACAACGCATGTCAACGAGAGTTGGCCAATTAACCCAAAGACTAACTTTTTTTTATCCGAGTTATATCCGAGTTATATTTTGAGCTTTTCAGATCTTAGGTCCTTAAAATGTAAAATCATTCAGTAACTCAAAATGTAATTAAATTACACTAAATTGCAGGTGTACGTTTTATACTATATTGTCAACTTACAGCGTTTTTTGACAGCAAACTGTAGCAGAAAGGAGGGGGGGGGGGGTCACACCACTTCTAAGCATGTAGCAACATGATCCATTTCAATTGCTTTTATTAGTTTTATAACCAATAGAATACACATTTCCAACAAAATATTTGTTAATCAAAAGATGTTAAAGAACTGGAAAATTCTTTTTTTTATGCAATCAAAAATACTGATTTATTAGTGTCTTCTAAAAACAGAGAGGAAACCATGCAGAGTTCCTAAGGCAACGAGATTTATCACTGAATACTTCACATTTTGGCTTCAGGCTAAGGGTATATGAATTCAGCAATTACCTTGCCTGGCCCAGGAATACTTCATAATAAAATGTGCAGCTGTCTCCCCAAATGGATGTTCTCAGTATTATATATTCACAATTACCATTTCATTACAGATTCAGGTTCTTTATTTAAAAAACATGTTCAGAGATGCCCAGTACAGTCAGGTGGTAAAGATTTCCAGAGTATGATAACTGCATATTTGTATGTATCGTCTCACTAAAAACACCTCTTGCACATTCTCAGTAACCAAATACCAATTATTAATGAAACACCTGAACTACCAGCAGAGAGAATGTACTGCAGCATTATACAGCCTTCGTCTATTTAAACTCACAAATCACAAACTTGGACAGAGACCAAAAGTGATTAAAAGAAGACAATACAAAGATATCATGACATAAAGATGTTGTCTTACCTCCGATCACAAGCACCTTCCATTAGTGCCAGAACCAGTTCAAATAGACTGATAGTTTCCCTTTGAATTATGTCGTCTTTCAGTCGGGACCAAAATAATGGTTGCGAGATTAAACAAAAAAAAATTGTATTTCATGATTGCTTACTCCCTTGACCTCTGTATACTGTAGTTATAGCATTTTGAAATCCTTTCTGCTCTCCACATACAGCAGATATGTGGACCCCTGCCAACAATTTCAATGAAATGTTTTTAATCAGTTTCCTATAATTGATTTCTCTTAACTTCAATCCTTTTGTATTTCTCCAACATTGACCCTTTGAAGGGATTAAGCTTTCTGTCCTCTGGCTCTCTTTACATCAATAAAGTACCCAGTGTCCCTAATCCTATGGATGGTAATGAGATTTATCCCATCAATAAATGTATCAGTCTTAAAAAACGGCAGCATCTAGTGCTCCGACTGGTTTTCTTGGAATCTGAATATTCTGTTGTTTAAGACAACATTGATAAGTTCGACTGACTAAATGGAATACAATGATTATAGTTTTCTCTAAGAAACCAACTGAGAAATTATAGATGGTTACAGTTCTCTCAAAACTCAGACAAACATGGCACAACAGCCATAAGGCAAAATAGTCATAAGTAGTACACAGTGATATTTAAGTATGCAAATTCGTTATGTTGTTTACAATTTTGTTTAATAGTTGTATTTTAGGTTAGTGTGACGCTGCTAATTACAGATACAAAGACAACTCAGAATATGGCATTTCTCGCGGCAAACAAGACTGGCATTTGCTTGCATTAACACTTTTTAAATATCAGGTCTGCCAGCTCAAAATCTGCTTGAATGACAGTCCATGAGAGTATTAATCTAGATGCCATTAACTCAAAAGAAGGTACTTTAATGTTTCTTGTAAACATGTTGGTTTCTGAAGAGCCTTACAATATGAGGGAGGATATAAGTCTGAAGAACCCCTCAACATCAAACTGCATTGGCCCGAGTATACTGGAGCTTTCAATAAAAGTACCATGTATACCATACACTTGCCTGCCAAATCTTCCAGTGGTGAAATCCTAATACTCAGACATTGTTCATATCCACCAGTTTTTCCCCCGTTTCCATTTTCCTGAGTTCATTTTCAAGGAGTTTTGGTGACATTGGCCCAACTGGGAAATTCATTCAGATTGAACATGGCCACCCCCCACGTGTTAATGGCAATGTTGATGGTTATGACTCCAAGAATGTTCAGAATGAATCCAGCTTTGGCCTGGAAAAACGAAAAAGTAAAACAATGAAAATAAACTTATATTTTGGATCTGGTTCAAGGCAAAACAGTGTTTTGACAAAAAACTATCAGAGTAGGTATTAATACCAATTTGTCTCCCTGAGCTTAGTATCCATGGTAATATGCAGGTTATTGTCTGTATACAAATAGATAATAATGATCAGATATAAGGATTTATATAAGCTGCTGCCCCAAAAACTAGATATGAGCCTTTATCCAAAATACTGTGTGCATGTCAATACGCTCACTTAAAGAGTCTCTATCTTTCCCAAAATATCTTACCATGTCTAGGACTTTGAGGTTGCCGTAGGAGAAGGCGATGGCGTTGGGTGGAGTGGCTACGGGCAGCATGAAAGCCAGCGAGGCAGAGATGGTGCAGGGAAACATGACGTACAGTGGGTGTATCTTGATGGCGGTGGCCTGGATTCAAACATTTAAAAAAGACATTCACACATTCCAAATAGGCAAGTGAAAAACGTTTAGTTTTTAAGCTTGGGGATGCTGAACTGAAATGTTTGTGAATGTCCCATAATGTCAACCAATACGATTAAATACGGAGTGTTATGTTCTGTCTTACCATTGAGGCCAGTATTGGCAGGAACAGAGTGGTGGTGGCAGTGTTGCTGGAACATTCAGTAAACATGGCCACCAGCAAGCACAGCAGGATGGAGATGGCAAAAGGAGGGATGCTCTGCAGCGGTAATAGACTTTCTCCAAGCCACAAAGAAAGTCCAGATTTCTTCGTGCAATTTGGGAATACACATATGAGCGTCCGAACAATTGTAAAATGTATTATCTTTCAGAAAGTTGTGAACTTGATGATCAAATACATTACCTCACTTCCATGTGCCAATGCAAAACCTCCTCCCAGAAGCAAAAGAATGTTCCAAGGCATCTTTTCATGGACAATGTCCCAATTAAGCAGAGCTCCAGGGGCTTCAGAAGAGGCCCCTGTAAGGACAAGGAGACAAGGAGACAAGGAAGTACATCTTTAAAGCTGACAGTATCATTTCAGTTATTGGTTAGGGCAGTCATAAATAAGTACAAATCTAATCCAACTATAGAAAAGCCAAGGTTGTATTGCCCACTGATAAGATGAAGTGACCATAAAGGAGTTCTGTAAAGATACAAATCAAATCTTATAAAAAGGTAAGCCATTCAAATATAATAAAAATGTGGTGTTGAAATGTGATGTTGGATTCTTTCTTTTAAGCAGTTTTTCTCTTTTCCAAAGTGGACTTTGGCACCTCAAAGTCTGACACAATCATTAACACACTCTTACACTCTTCTGTGTACAAAACACTGTTTTTCCTCTTTATGACAGGTAAAAAAAAAGCACTAGTTGCCTATAGGCAGGAGCAGGACACGCTTAACTTAAGTTACAAAGGGAGAAAAAATTGATTAATTGATAGAAAAGTCATTTTTCTAAGTAACAGCACAGCATGTACTGTTGCACAGGCTTGACCTCGGGGCTATCAGGCTACAACTCAGGAAGCAGATGGGATAACGTTTATTATAAAACGCTGAATCAGCAAGATGAGTTTTCACAGGCAATAAAAGACATTGACGGTGTCTTTGTTGTAGTACACAGAGAGAAAAGACAGACATGCTTATAAAACTGCATATTATTGAATGTTATGCAATAGTGAATTAACTCTTCCCATTGTGCTGTATGGACCTGCACAGAAAGAACCAAAAATATCAGGTATCTGCCCTCTTGTCTTAACATCTTATCCTCTTAAAAAAAATCCCAATTGTATTAACATTGCTCAACAAAAAGAAAGCATAAACATGAAAATAGAAGTTTACTACTTAACATTTTTGTTTTAAGAGAAGAAAATCCTTTCATGTCATTGCTCAAAATGTAATCCTCAAAAAGGTCAGTGGTCAACATGTTTATTCACCTTTCTAAAATAAGACATTAAGACATGTGGAAAACATGCCTGCTGACTTACCATCCTCTGACCTCCCGCAGCATCTTGGCAGTTTAGATGGGATGCAGAAGAAGAGTGCTGACATTAAAATGGCCACGGTGCCGTCTGTGACGTACCTGATGAGAAACACGTATTTAAATATCTGTGTTATGTAGTACCGACACAAAAATACTTAAGCTACTATTTTGTGGGTAGTGTCAAGATCAAAGATAAAAAAGGCACTATCATTTAAAGTTAATGAGACAGTATCAATAAGAACCATTGATGTCCAGGCAGTGACTTATATTTAATCATGTTCCCTTCCTTATTTCCTTCTCCAACACTGGGCCATCCCTGGTTAACTCCTCACCTCTTCACTTTCTTATAAAAAGCCATGTGACAAACAGTTTTTCTTACTCACGTTTTGTCTTTGTTGAAGAGCACAGTGGCCCAGCCGGGTATGAAACCAGGTTCCCTGGTAAACCACAGAACAACCAGCAACGTGAAGATGGTCAGCACACAACCCTCAGCGAAGTTCATCCTGCCCAACTTTTTGTACTCATCTTTGATTACCTGGAACGCCTCCCTGTCTCCTTCTTTCTTGGTGCCACATCCAAATGTGCTTTTAAGGCTGCAATAACACAACGTGAAAAGTACTGCTTATATGGTTGCAATCAGGAAATATCGGACAGAGATTAGGTACATTACATGAAACTTACTTGAAGCCTAGAAACATAAACTGCAGCCACAACCAAGACAAGGCGAGCATTAGCACCATGTTGGGGAAGGAGAAGCCGAACCAGCTTGCAAAGTTGATTACGCCTCCATTATCTGGAAAGAGTCTGTTGATTATCGAAAGAAAACATTAAAATCAGAAAACAGCACAACCTTAACACCTGGAAATTGGTTGCAAGTAGATAGTAAATATTTCAGCTACAGAAAGGATGACAAAAAGGTACTTGATCATCATCTTGTGTAAATTCCAGTTTTTTGTTCAACTGCTTTGTTAAGTATATATATTGTGCAATCAAAATATCGCTATGTCAGTTTCATCCAATATTGTGCAGCCCTATACAGTATGTGCGAGTTGTGTGGGTATTTGTGTATATGCAGGACGTACTCATCAATCTGGCCTTTCATAATGACGTTGGGTGTTGTTCCGGTGAGGGTGGCCGTCCCACCGATGCTGGCAGCGTAACAAACACTCAGACTCATGCCTTTCGTCAGCTTCGTATACTTCTGCTCAGTCTTCAGTCTGCGCTGCTGGGCCTCTAGACCTTCACCATTAAAAAAAATACATCTTATCTGTTGCATATTGAATGTAATTTTCTGTTCTGGGCTTCCTTGCTTTACCAGTTTCTGTAATTGTTTAATGCAGTGGGGAGAAAGTTGCTATTGTATTTCAATTGTTCTTTGAATGTTTAGTTGGACACATATCTTTACCAAGACTCGTTTTGCTGAGATCTTGGGTGACTTAACCAAACTACTTGAAAATGTTAATGTTAAAACAGGGCCAACACTTTTTTTTAAGATTTATATTTTTACCTCATGCCAATCACAGTAAGAATACATTTGACCTGTACTTTGGCACTTTTATTTCTGCTCTTTGTTTTCTTTGATTTTTCCTTTTACTATTTTAAGCTAGACTATTACTTAAAAGACAAAAGGTAAAAAACATACTTGATATTATGCCATCTTTATCTGCATCTGCAAAACACCATAAGAACAAAAACATCAAAAACAATAACAACCAAAGAGTTAAGAAATAGTAGGCTATAGTACAAAATATATGGACACTGCCACACACCCAAATTGATGGTGTTTTCCTTTGATTGGAGTTCTTTGCTCATTTTGGCATCACCCATCTCAAATGCCTGGTTATCCAGACCATTGTTTGCAGCAGCCATGTTAAACTCCCTCTCTTCAGCGTTGGCCTCTGTGTCACACAGCTGCTGCAGCACAGCGTTGGCGATGGGCAGCATCATGGCTGTGGAGGCCGTGTTACTGATCCACATGGATAGGAAGGCTGTGGTGCCCATGAAACCGATCATCAGACTGTAGAGGATGCAAAACAAATGATTAGATGGAAAGTTGAAGTTTGAAAAAAAAAAACCTTAGAGAAAAAGCAAAGAAATGTATTGATAATGCC